CCTATGGCCAAATATCCAAGCGCCCATGTAAAATACCGCTAGGTTAAATATCTATTTCTGGACCAATTCATCACAAAATTTGAATCTGAGACGTAAAATTTCTTCACCACATTGAGATCTGTCGATTATACGTCTCAATTTCCTGCAATTTTGAGTAATGAATATGAAATAGAAGTCAGAAAATTTTGTGAAAAGTTGGTAGTTTATAGATGACGTGCACCATAGTTGTTTAGCTGACCTATGATTGGGCATAAACAGTCCGGCTTCTATAGAGAAAGAACACCGGATAATTCCGGATGACCGGATATTATCCGTAAGTGACCGTAAGTGACCGAACCTCGGCGAAAAAGGCCAAAGCAAGAACGGCCAAAGTGCCCCTTCTTGACACTTTTCACATATTCAAATTGGCTACTAGTATAATATTCTGTACTTCCATAAAACTTCGGTGTCCCTTAAAATCCGTCGCCCCCTGTACCTCTGTCCCACTTATATTGGTACCAGTTATATACAATTTCTACAATATTATACAGTTTGAACAAACCCTACTGTACCACGTAATGTGAATCAAACTCTATCTGTGGATAAATCAACACTCAGATCAGATATTAATTATCAAAACTTATTGATGAATACGATGAGAATTGATCATCATCCCCCTTTCTTTCTAGGATATCTTCCACAAAGTTAGGACAAACAGCCGCCTGAATTCGTATTTAGATTACTCTAGCTCTAGGGTGCGACTGGTAACATTTCAAAGAATAATATTTCATTTTCTCGCAAAATGGGACTAACCAAAATGCCATTTTCAAAATGGATGTAAAAGGTCCATTTGTAATGTGGCGTTTTGGACCTCTTCAACGAGTAAATCCCACGTGGAATTATTGGATTTGGGTTAAACCTCTGCAGGCAAGACATCTTTCAATTTTGATCAGATTTGTTGAATTCGGCCCTTAAATGGCGCTTTGGGCCTGAATATTGCTATATTTCCGGTTACCAGACGAACCCTTACTCTAGCTCTAGCCTTGAATTGATTGAAGTATTTCCATTAAATCTTGAAAAAGTAGTCTGGAGCAATATAATGCTGACAGAGGTAATATAACGGCCAATTCACTGTCAATGCAGCAATTTTTACGTTGTGGCCATTAGAAAAGGTGTCAATATGAAGGCAACAATTGATTGGTTAGGTTATAATACTATTATAGTACAAATAAATAATACAAATGAATAATACTGGAGGAGCTGTCCACTTAATGCGCAATCATGACCTTGTCCTTGGGGGTTTCCGCGCCTTCGTAGGCCTCCTCGTGGGTCTTTTCTTCCATGTACGTCTTAACCGAGATGAAGGCGAGCACGAGACCGACGGTGGAGAGCGTCCAGTTGACAATAATGTTGGACACGGGCGAGATGGGGATGCCGCCCAGACGCCAGCCCACAGCAGCCATGCCGGATTGCACGCACTTGTAGTAACCGGCGTAGCGACCCAGCGTGGACATGTCGTCCGAGAACTGACCCATCAACCAGTACGCCCACACTTGCACGATCGAGTCGTTGAACCCGTAGAACATGTACAA